CGGGGGGGGGGGGGGGGGGGGGGGAGAGGGGATGGAGCACAGAAAGGGTCCGTATTTACAGCGCGTCCAAATTTAGAGAAAATGTAAGGGCTTTCATTCCCCAGGGACAAGGCAAACTGTTCTTAATAACGTGTCCGTATTAAGCGGGTGTCCGTAAACCGGGGTTTGGTTGCATTTTTTGAAAAAACAAATTACTTAATATCTTAGATAACCAGATTCCTTCACGATGAAGAACATTCTCGCTCGGCATAGAACTAGAACAACCCTAACCTTAGAGCCAATACGTCTGTCATTTTTGCTGAAATGAGCAAAGCATCGTGACCCTTAATCGAAGCCTTGCAAAAAATGAAAACATTGCACATGCGGATTGAAAAAGGTTGGTTTTCTTAATGTACTTGTTAAAAACAGGATAAAAGTTCTGAGTGGACAACACGAAATCAATCAAACAACCGAGTCAAGTAAGTCAATGAACAAGAACGTTACATCAAAAAATAAACCACCGCTTTAAGATAGAGCGACAGTGCATGCAATTTTTATAGCCATCAGCTGGCATCATTTGGAGTCCAAAATTGATCATCATCATCATCATCATCATCTTTTTTAATTGGAATGAAATTTTTTTTAATTGAAATGACTTTTTTTCATCGAAATGAATTGTAAATAGTGCTATGACTGAATGGTTTTTTAAACGAAATTAAATATAATTAGGTTTTAATAGTTAGCTTTGTTATCAATAAAATTGATTATTATCATACCATTATTTTTATTTTAATATCTTTATTACTTTTATAGTCATAATCATAATGATAATAATAATAATTATTAGTATTATTATTATATTAATACATAAAACGGTAAAAACGAATGATAAAATCCGACGTTTCGGAGTAGTCATGACTCCATTATCAAGGAAAAATGTTTTTGATCATGCAAACGTTTCGAAGTGCTCAAGAAAGGCGGGAAAAAATTTGACTGTTTGGTGTACGAAATGTTTTTCATAAGAACCTTAAAGCCAAACCTCAACGTGCAATCAGACTCTATTCGTGCAAAAGTATTTTCATAACCTTCGCACCCTGTTATGTTAATTTTCGCGCCACATCCCTTTAAATGCTGTAATTTACATGATCAGAAACATTTTTCCTTGATAATGTCCGAAAGGTCGGATTTTATCGTTCGTTTTTACCGTTTTATGTCTAAAGAAATCTCTTTTAATATAAATATTATTATTATAATATTGTTATTATTATTATCATCATCATTATTATTAATTTTAATTTCAGTTATTCTTTCGTGCTCATATGTCAGATTCGAGCCAAAAAAATACATTACTAATTTATTCTTGTTTAAAGAAACGCTATTCACTTTAATATTTCAGCTGTTACCGTGCGTCAGCGTTAAGTTTAATTTAAGTGCTAAATTGTAAACACTAATTAATTTTAAGAAAAAGCCCACTGAAAAAGCCTTTGAATTCCGAAATGTATTTTGCAAAAAGTTGCCAGTATTTGTTAACTTATTACTTAAATCTTGTTGATCTCTCAACGGCGTCACGAGGACCGGTGTGTGTGAACTTTCTTAGTACGTGCATGTACAAAGATGTGATCAGTTCAAAATGCGACACGGCTCAGAGAGCTCCGGTGACGTTCACGTTTATAGTGTTCAAATCAAATCGAAATCTCTCTTGAATTCCGTAATTGTGCCTCAGTTTGGGCTCTCGTACGGCTGTCAAATTAAAATTACACAACTCTTCGGACTGTTGCGGGTACAGTGCAAATACTAATTTATATATTATATGAGCATAATTAGATAATATTCATATTACCTTGTTCGGCTTTACTATATCCATGCCGACTTCATCAAAGTAAGGCTTATAATCTGCGAATGAAACGCTGCAAGGGTCCTTATAGGCAAATGCCTTGGAAAATATACCCCAGATTTTTGAGCAATTCTTGGTAACCTCGTGGCTCTTCAGTCGTTGATAGTCCCAACATCTTCCGATTACGATCTCCCTCAAATGAGTCGTTGATCCTTTGGACACAGTTAAACTTACCAAATTAGAAACAATTATTAAGTACAATAGTACAACCTGAAACATGTTAGGAGCTTCAACAGCGCTGAATGCACTGAAAATAAAACA